GGGGGGGGGAGGAGTTGGCTGGTTGGTTGCTTTTTAAACCCCTGTAAGGATCAATTCTTGGTTACTGTTTTACTTTGTGAGCATTACATAATGTAGCTTAAGTATTTTAACAACCAGAGTTTCAAGTCTAAATTAAATAAATAGTATAGTTATTTCAAACTATAGACATAAAGTGGTTCACTGTCTTAAGCTGCTGTTAAGACACGTTCATGTATCTTTTCTTGCACAAGTAAATACCTTGACTTTTCAGCTTGATGTGTCACCTCAGGCCTATGACCAGCACTAGACACTACGGTTTTTATCAATGAAGACACTCTGCTTTATCTCATGGAACTGTAATGAATCCCTGCAGTCACATCAGAAGCTGTGTGTGTGTGTGTGTGTGTGGCTGCTGGGGAGGTGCGGAGTTAAACCAGCGTCGCGGCCGGGGCTCGTGTGAGTGTGTGCGCGCGTGAGTGTGAGTGAGTGTGTGCGAGTGTGCGTGTGTGTTGGAGAGATTAGGACGAGACTTGAATATTTATGAGCTTTGCTTGAAACTGACTCGCAGTGTTTACTTGCCTCTTTGTTCCTCACCCCCCTCCCTCCCCCGTCCACACACATACATACATTTAAAAAAATCCATTAAACTTGAAACAGTTTCTAATTCCTCCTTTTTTTTTTTTTTTTTTTTTTTTTTTTGCGGGTGATTTTTTTTTTTTCCTATAGAAACTAGTTGCACAGATGAAGCAAGATCCACAGGTAAATGCAGATCCTTTTTTTTTTTTTTTTCCCCCCCTTTTTTTTCCCCTCTTCCTCAGCATTTTTCTCCCTGCTGTAATAAGCGCGGTTGTGCTGGGACAGCAGGATGAAAAAACTTTATCAGTAAGAGATCTCGTTTTGTAGTCTGCACGGAGCTTTCTTGCTAAGGAGGGTGTTTTGTGTGTGCATGCTTTTCGTACGGCTTCGGTGGAACGGTTTGTGCCTTTGAACGGTTTCTAGATCGCAAGTTTGATTCATTCCAGGGGTTAGTTGACCACTTTGCCTTTATTTAATACGCGTCTTGTTGCCGTTTTTGCAGAACGGGGATCTTAAGAAACAAATCCATGAAAGGCAATCGAGAATAGCAGCTCTTAATGAGAAACAAGTAAGGAAAACAGATCGGTTCAGTTGTGTTTGGTTTTTCTCCTTGTTTTTACAATTTGCACTTTCTGAACGTCCGAAAAGTGTCTGCGTTAGCTGAAAAATGCCGACAGCGGAGAATGTAACGTCCGTTTTCCTAAGTGTTAAGTAAGAAAATGCATGTTTTCAAAATGAGGTCGGATTCTTGGGGGTCTTTGCTGGGGGAAGAGCATGATTTTAGTTTTGGCAGTAAAACGAGAAGCAGTAGTTAAAACGTAAAAAAAAAAAAAAAAAAAAAAAAAAATTAAAAAAAAAAAAGAGGCGTCCATTTTGAGTTGGTCGACATGTTTTAGGAATATGGAAAATTCTCCTGTCTTGGGCTACTTTGTGCACTTCCGTGTAATGTGCAGAGCAGGAGTTGGGAGGGAGGAGGCTGGAGCCCAGTTCGGAGCCATTTCTGGGTTTGATTACAAAACTGATTTTCATTGATCACTTTTTATTTTCTTCTCTTTTTTTTTCTTCTTTTCTTATCTTCCCCCCCC